ATTCATTCGACACCTTTTTCCCCTTGTACTGTGAATCGAACCCCATTATACCCCGTGGTGCTCTGCCACTGAGCCACATCACCAGCCCTTTTTTATGTTATTATTATTATTCTAGTTATAGGTGAATGGACACAAGGTTCATTTTATTTTCATGTGGTGCTGAGGATTGAACCCAGTGCCTCATGCATGCTAGGCGAGCACTCTACCTCTGAGCCAGCCCAATCCCACATTCCAGCCCTTTTTATTTTTTATTTTGAGACAAGCTCTCAGTAAACTGCTGAGACTGGTCTCAAACTTGCAATCTTTCTGCCTCGGCCTCCAGAATAGCTGGGATTATAAGCACGCACCACTGCCTTTGGAGTCTATTTTATACCTCCACACAGGACTGTCCCATCCTTCAGAATAGTAAGCCCCAATTCTGATGGTAAAGGAGACTGCTCCCTCTTCTCTTCTCCGCTCTCCTCTTTTTTTTTTTTTTTTGGTACCAAGTGTTGAACCCAGGAGGTTAACCACTGAGCTATATCTCCAGCCCTTGATATATATATATATATACATACATACATACATATATATATATATATATATTTAATTTTGAGACAGTATTGCTTAGGGCCTTGTTAAATTGCTGAGGCTGGCTTTGAACTTGTAATCCTCCTGCCTCAGCCTCCCAAGATGCTAGGATTACAGGCATGCGCCATCACACCTGGTGCTCTCGTGACAAAGGTAAGTTGAGGGGGTTCTGTGGGGAAATGAAACCAGAGACTGGGAACAATTGGGGGATGCAATATCTGACACCAAAAAATTGCTGGGCACAGTGGTACACGCCTGTAATCCCCCAGCAGCTCCAGAGGTTGAGGCAGGAGGATTGCAAATTCAAAGCCAGCTTCAGCAATGGCGAGGCACTAAGCAACTCAGTGAGACCCTGTCTCTAAATAAAATACAAAACAGGGTTGGAGATATGGCTCAGTGGTTGAGTGCCCCTGAGTTCAATCCCCAATACTCCCTGCCCGCCCCCCCCCCAAAAAAAAAAGAAAGAAAGAAAGACTGGTCACTGGTCACCGTGGTGTACACCTGTAATCCCAGCTACCTAAGGAGGCTGAGGCAGGATAAGTGCATGAAAGACACTTAATAAGACCCTGTTTGGAAATAAAAAAATAAAAAGGACTGAGGGTGTAGTTCAGTAGTAAAGCACTTGCCTAGTATTCTTGAAGCCCTGAGTCAGCTCCTATTACTAGAAAAAAAAAAGTGTCAAATTTAAAAATAAAGGTAGGAGAATCCCTAAAAGACAGATGCCTGCTTCTTTTTCCATTTCTTGCTTCTACTACCAAAAGCAAGCCTCCACCAGATGTGATCCTTCCCCTGACTCCCTCTTTGATGATTCATAGCTAGGGTGTTTAATGAGACAAAGGTGATAGGGGAGAAATAAGTGGCTATTTTACTCTTTTGTTGTTGTTGTTGTATATTTGTTTTGGTGCTGGCAAGTAAACCCAGGGTGCTTTACAACTGAGCCACATCCCCAACCTTTCTTATTTATTGTTTTTTTTTTTTTTTAAATTTTGAGACAAGGTCTTGTTAAGGTACTTAGGGCCTCACTAAGTTGCTGAGGCTGGCTTTGAACTTTCGATCCTCCTGCCTCAGCCTCTGCAAATCACTGGGATTACAGGTATGTGCCATCATGCCCAGCTGCCCCCAAACTTAATTTCCTCCTCCATTTTCATCTCTTCTTCTTCTTCTTTTTTTATCCAAGCATCATTTATTCTTGATTAGGAGATCATTAAAGGGGAAAAGCATCCAAGTTTTATGTTCTCTTAGCTGGTGGTACCATAGTTTCCTCAGTTTTCCAGAGCACCCCTAATAAGAGGGGCTGTGTTTACAGAGTGAAGGGGTGTCTGCTGGACACTTATTAGTTGTTGACATTACCCAAAGTCCAGGAGGTCAAGATGCAGTAGGGGGACTGGTAGTGTAGTTCAATGGTAGAGATCATGTTTATTGTGAATGTGGCCCTGGGTTCATCCCCAGCACCAAATAAACAAATAAATAATGAGATAGGGAAGGGAAATTATTAAAGTTCAGGCCACAGAGTTAGCTCCAGGGCTAGCTGGCAGAGGCTTGTCCCCTGTTTTCCCAAATTATCAAAGATGTATGATGCTTCTTGGCAGAGGTGAAGGATGCTCTTCAGAAAGAAAGGAGGAATCTCTTCAGAAAGATATCTGGGTCCTCTGGCTGAGAGGGGTTAGATCCTCAAGAAATCTTGGGGTGCTTCCTAGCAACAGTCTGGGAGGAAGGGAGGGAGAGAAGCGAAAGAGAGAGGGAGGGGCCTGGGCATGGCTGCTCCTACTAGAGCCCAGAGAACAGTCTGTTCCTGCTGCCTCCTTGGCAACCAAAATCTAAGCTGGAGTGGAAAGGAGGGGGACCGTCAGATTTATCCCCCTTGGAGGGTCCCTAACCATTCACATTCATACCCCACCCTCTGGCTCTCCCCATAGGAGCTGGGTGTGCCGTGAAACAGAGTATCAGGGATGGGAGGGGATGGTCTAGGTGAAGGGTTTCATAGCAAGAAGGGAACAGGAGCTGGGGATGAACTGAATCTGAATCTGAGAAGAGCAAGAAGCTTCAGGAAACAGGTGGGCAGGGTGACCGGGTGAGAAGAGGAGGATGCAACACAGGGACAGGGGCTATAAGCCCAGACTTGGGTTGGATCTGGGCGTCTGGTGAGACACCTGCTCTGGAGGCAGTGTGCCCTTCATTTTGCCCTTGCCCAGGTCTGTTACCAGACCCTATTGGGAAATCAGGAAAAAGGGAGAGGTCAGGAGAAGATGGGAAGGGTTCAAGTTACCCCACTCTGTCCCTAGCAGGGGCTGGAGGGAGGTAGATCTTGAGGCATTTCATTTTTTTAGCCCTGGCTTTAGTATTTCTTTGGGGAGGAGGGCATCTAGGATTTCAGAAAGTCTCCCCCGCCCAGTATTTTTAGGACACTGCATCAAAGACAGATGTGGTGGAGAGAGAGAGAATAGAAGGGAAACAAAAACAATAGCACCTTCATCTTCCCCTTCTGGATTCCTCCCCCCTGCCCTAATCCAGATGACTGCTGGGCCTCTCTGTTGCCTCCTATTTTTACCTGGTCGAGGCCAAATATAAATGTGTATCTCATGCACCCAGGTTGTCTCCCAACTCCCAGGGCAGCCTGGACCTGAGAAACTATTTTCATGCAGGATAGAGCATGCACGCTGCAGCCTTGCTCCCCAGGGTTTCAGTCAAACCTGTTCACTGATGAGGTGGCATCAATTGGCAGGCAGCCACCCTCCAAGCACCTACACTGCACACTGCACTGACTTCTCACTGCAGCCTTCCGCCCCACACTGCAGCTGTTGAATGTGTTCCCTCTGAATCCAGACTGAACACAGGTGCCCTTACTGCGTGCTGATTCTGCACACTGCAACCTCAATTCCCCACTGCAGCTGCCACTGCACACCGCAGGTGCCCTTCACCTATTGCATTGCCCTCATCACCACCAATTAACTGCACACCCCATGGGTGTGTCAGCCCAGCTGCCCTTCTCATCCTCATGGTCTCAGGGGCTCCAAGAAAGGAATCCTCCCCTCTGTTATGTATTGCAAACCCTAACACTCGCTGTAAGAGAAGTGGTTCCATCAGAGAATGGAGATGGCTAAGACTAAGATGGGCAAAGGGAGCCGAACTTGGATAGGCTGTTGGTCAGAACCTCAACTCAGCAAGTGATTCTGCCCAGTATAAACTGGGCGATGAGCAGAGCAGTCCGCACTCCCCCCACCTCATACACACACACACACACACTCTCTCTCTCTCCTCCCCAAGAACAGCCTCTGAAGGCAGTGCCCCGCCCTGGGAACCGTGGGAAACTTGTGGCCCCCGCTGGTAAAACTGGGCTAATGACAGCGGGGGAACCGGCGGGGCCAGAGGGGGGGTGTGCTAGAATAATTAGACCTCTGCCTGGCGCTAAGAGGTCCTGAGATGAAAGGGGCTCTGGCGTCACTGACATGGTTTTATGTCCATGAATGCAGGTGTGTGTGTGTGTGTGTGTGTGTGTGCGCACGCGCGCACTCGCTCGCTCGCTCGTGTCTGTGTGTGTGTGTGTGTGTGTGTGTGTGTAGGGGGGTGGGGCTGCAGTGGAGACCTCTTCTTCAGGGAAGGGGATCTATGTGTACGCAGCCCTCCCTCCTCCTTAGGTTGGCCCTGGTACCATTTGGATTTTGTTGGGGCAAACATGGGAGGAAATACCACGTCAGTAAAGCTGGGAGATGAGGGATTATGGCAAGTCTTGACCCCTTAGAAGCTCAGCCCGGGGAGCAGATTGTTAGGGAAATGGCAGGTGGCCTTGAATACAAAGAGCCCCTACTGAGAAGGGTGTAGTTTGAAAGGGGAGGCAGTGGATGAGTATTAATGTTAGAAATGAGGGAAGGTGGTTAAGAAGAAGGATTCCCCCAAAGGATTAAAAACATAGTTAAGAGGACCCCAGGATTCACCTGCTCAATCCTCTCATTTTTAACTGGAGGTAACTCTACCCCCGCAGCAGTGGTGATTTGTTCAAGGTCATACAAGTGAGTGACTGGTAGATAAGGGACCCGAACTCCGAAACATACTCTACACCTCTAAGCGTTTTATATTTGGCCTTCTTTCCCAATTTATTAGGTGGAAGCAGCTCTTCAATACTTCCTCCCCCACCCCAAGATGCAAACCCTCAAACCCCCAATTCCCTCAAAAAGCAAAGGCTGTTTTTTAAATGACATCTTTTCCAAATCATGTCACCAAGTACCACTCCTGCCGGAGCCGTCGAAGTGGGAAGGCGAGTCCGAGCCCGGCCGGGGCTCGGGCGGCTGGGGGGGGGGGGCAGCCGAGCCGCTGGCCAGGGTCCCGGGGCGCGGCGGGGGGGCGAGGGGCGGGGGCCGGCGGCTGCAAGGCGGCCTGCAGGGAGCAGCCGCGAGCCGGCCTGGCGCGCAGATCCAGAGCCTGAGCCCCAGCCCGAGCGGGGCGGAGGAGGGAGGAGCCAGAGCGGCCGCCACACTCGCCCCCCGTCCCCCCGCGCTCACTCTCTCTCACACCCGGGCGCTGGAAGCGGGCGGCCCGGGCCCCACCGGCCCCCCATGGACGCCCCCGGTACGGGGCGCTGAGACCCCAGCGTTGTTGCCCAGCCGGGTCCAGCGCGCCACGCCGAGGTAAGGAGGAGGGAGCGAGGGGGTATTAATATGCAAATGTCTCGCGATTGATTATGCAAAGCCGCGGGTCTCTGTGGGCAGCTTGCAGGCGGGCTGGGGGCGCCCAGGGGGTACCCGCTGCCAGCTTCAGCCTTTCCAGGCGCCCCGGTGACCCTGTCACAGCCTGGGAGCTTGCAACTTACGCCCTGGGGAAGGGAGGTGCTGCTGGGAGGTCGGTGGGCCCCGGGGTTCGCCGAAGGAGATGGCGTCTGGGCCTCCCCCTCGAGGGCCCGCCCGGCCTCTGTCCGGCCGGTCTGCTGCGCATTCCCAGGCCGGGCCCCGCTGCCGGAGCTCCCCCGCCCGCCGCGCCGCGGTTTGTTTACGGTGCGCCGGAGGACTGCCCCCACCAGCCCCCACCCCTAGCCTCGGAGGCCGAGTGGCCTTTGCAAAAGCTGCCTCCAGCTGCCGAGGGCAGTGTGAGTGCGGTGGTGGTGGTGGTGGGGAGGTTTGCGTGGATCGGAGGAGAGGGAAGTCCCCCTCCCCTCACCCGCCTCCCCAACTGAGCATGGCTTTCTGGTTGCAACATTACTAATTGCAAAAGAACGAGGCTGGTGGGGTGGGGTGGGGGGAGCGTGTGCATGTAGTGGTGAGGATGTGCTTGATGGTCCCTAGATGACTTAGGAGAGTTGCTGGCTGGCATGGCTGGGGCAGAGAGGAAGGAATAGAGCTGTGTTGTGTGCCCCCTCCTTGTTTCCCTCCCTTTGCAACGTGTCTCTGGTGCCCCTTCTCTGTCTAGGGCCCTCCCTTGTCCAATGTGAAAGGAAGGCCTGGAGGGATGACAAGCAATGGAAAGAGCCATCAATTCCAGGGATTGGAGGGGTGGGCACATAGAAGGAAAGCCAGTAAAATGGGAACCTGCCTCTCAATACTGGCTCCAGCCCCAGAAGTGGGGTACATAATACCACCCCCATTTTGCAGATGAAGAAACCAAGGAAACCAAGATTCAACAATGTTAACCACCTTTTCTTCTTTATTTTTTTTTCTTTCTTTTTTTTTTTTTTTTTTTTGGTACAGGGATTAAACTCAGATGCACTCAGCCACTGAGCCACCCACCCAGCCTTATTTTGTATTTTATTTAGAGACAGGGTCTCACTGAGTTGCTTAGTGCCTTGCTAAGTTGCTGAGGCTGGCTTTGACTCGCAATCCTCCTGCTTCAGCCTCCTGAGCCGCTGGGATTACAGGTGTGAACAACTGAGGATGTTAACCATCTTTTCTGAGGTGTGTGGGGGTGAGGGATGAAGGGGCATGGGGGGGGATTGAACCCAGGGTCTTATACATGCTGAGCACAAGCATTACCACTGACCTACACCCCAATGCCAAAAAGTTAACCATTGTGCTCCAAGTCACATGCCTTCAAAATAGCAGAAATTCTCCAGATTTTGAACTCTAATGATCACATCAGTAAATCTGTCCCCTCCTAGTGTCCTCTTTTTATCTTTTTTTTTTTTTTTTGACAGAGTCTCACTATGTTGTTCAGGCTGGTCTCAAACTCATGGAAGTAGCTGGGACTACAGGTACACTGCTACACCTGGCTTCAATGCATCTTTTTAAAAACAAATATTTAACTCTACTACCCTGAAGTGAAATTAACAAGCAATATAAATTACCTGGATACACAATTTAAAAAGCAGATCAATATAATTTTCTGGCTATTAAAGAAAAATAAAGACAAGAAGAAGGCATTTCAATATGCAAATACTTGGGCACTATTCTACACTGGAAGTTAGAGGAAAATAGGAAACTCTACCCCCAGCCCTAGAATCACTAAGAATGTGATAGGGAAAAATATAGACTGACCGAGGAGAGTTGAATTAGGCAGAATTGCCATTGGTCTGACTTTCCAAAATGGTGAACAACTCTTGATAAAGTTCAGAACAATACAAAACAATTTACATAGTGGTTGCATTGCTGGAAAAGACAGGTCATATTAAATATGTGCAAAAATATTGCATATTTGTGCTTTCCTTTTCAGGCTAAGAACCTAAAAGACCTAAAAACAACTAAAATCCTGGATAAAACTTTTTTTTTAAATCTTAAACGCTGCTGGGCATGGTGGTGCATGCCTGTAATCCCAGTGGCTTGGGAGGCTGAGGCAAGAGGATCACTAGTTCAAAGCCAGCCTTAGCAATTTAGTAAGGCCTTAAACAACTCACTGAGACCCTGTCTCTAAATAAGATATAAAAAAAGGGCTGGGGATGTGGCTCAGTGATTAAGCGCCTCTGAATTCAATCCACAGTACCAAAAAAATCTTAAATGCTGGGGCTCCGGTTGTGGCTCAGTGTAAAATGCTTGCCTGGCATGTGGGAGAGGCCGTGGGTTTGATTTTCAGCACTACATATTAATTAATTAATTAATTAATTAATTAAAGGTCCATGGACAACTAAAATATATTTAAAAAAAAAATCTCAGAGGGCTGGGGCTATGGCTCAGCGGTAGCGCACTTGGCTGTCATGTGTGAGG